AACAACAGTTTATGAATTTTCTCCGCTCGAAGCTTGTATTTTTTTTTATTTTTCTTAATTGAACTTCATCAGGAAATATCAAAGTCTAAATTTAAAAACTTACAAAACAATTAACCTCAAAGGAGCTCGAGAAGCTTTTATGAATTAAAGAAATTTAAAAAGAAAAGTCACATCCATATGAGGTCTGCTTTGCCTGAGAGATTCTAACCACAAGTTTCTTTCTAATTTAGTTTTTTAGGAAATAATTTAACAAATGTTTATCAGAAATCATATCATGCATATCTGTAGTGGAACGCTGGCTACTGAGAGGAGTAATATGAAAGTTGAAATTATGATTATGGATCATCAGATGATTCCTGGTCTTATTTATAATAAACTCTCACCTGTGGTATGATTGTGATCTTTGATCTTAAATCGTGAAGCCCAATTGTGGAAATATCGACACCATCGATAATTATATTGCCTTGTGCTGGTTCAAGTATTCTAAAGAGGGCCATTGTCAATGACGACTTTCCTGCTCCAGTCCTTCCAACTATCCCAATCTTCAGTCAAGTAAAAATAAAAATATTTTAGAGTAAAAGAAGAATTGACTTTTATACTACAATCGTGTGTAGGATGTTAGGCCAGAAAATGAGTTTTTTTTCAAATCCCAAGCGTGTTGTTGTTTCAAAATTTAAACGTGCATTTTATTCTTAAAAAGTTCATCATAGAAGCCAAGCTTAAACTTTAATATGCTATAAAAGCGTTACGTCTACATTATTCATATCAGCGGCACTCAATTTACAGTTTGAAATGCAAACTAGAATGCAAACATACACTTAACATTATATACATGTAACACTCAATATGCAAATGCAAAACATTGTCAAATTAAATATCATATGCAATCTTAAAATATAAAACCACATTATGAAACAAAGAGGTGGCATTGCAAAGGTTTGATTTATTTCAATTCAAGTCTAGCAAAACATAGGATATTGACACCATATACATGCAACTAGAAATATCTAATAATGACAAAAATGCATACAATAAGCAGTTCCTACCTTTTCACAGGGCAGTATTTTACTGGTTATTCCTTTTAATACTAAATCAAGGTCCTCTCTGTAGCGAACACCATAGTCGTTCATCTCTACACGACCTTCATCTGGCCATGTTGGTTTTGGCTTTGTTTCTTGAATCCTCCATAACGCCTACATATTATCAGATTGTTTGAGATAACTTGTACACAATAACATAATACCACAAAATATATATTAGATAAAATTATTTTTTTCACAAGAAAATATTTGAAGAGAAATGGTTGCTTTTACTGATAGAAATCCTTAATATATCATCTAATTTCATATGTTTGTAAGTTTGTGTATGTGTTTAATATTTAATCAATAAAACATGGATTGCAGACAGCAACCAACGACGGCAACTTGGTAGCAGATCCCAGTGTTGAGTCAGGCATTTAAACATTTGTCGCAGTTTATTAATACTTGGGTACTCAATCCTCTCCAAATCAGGAATACTAGTATGACAGTCAAATATGAGAAATGAACTGTAAAAGTCAGCTGAAAACAGCTTGACCATATCGATACGAAATACAACAATCACCAACATGAAAGACAAAAGAAACACAGTATTATAAATCTTATCTTTTGGTCTTTTTAGTTTTTTGGCATGTCGTTTTCAGTCTATTTTCGACTTTTTAATGTCCCTTTGGTATCGTTCGCCTCTCTTTGAGAGCACTTCGGCGCAAAATGCAAGTGAAAAGAAGCGTTATGTGATTTAGGTATTCTCATATTGTATTTGAGCCGACATAAAAGCTATACTCTTCTAATGCAATAAGTATAATGTATATACATGTATTTGAAAAAATGTTCATCACATTTTTTTGTTATCTTTCGTTTGTTTTTCAGTTGTCAAAATTTTACAATTACCCCTACAATCACCAACTGAATATGGTTTTTGGGGTAAACATTGAATAAAATGTGAAAGACTATCAATTTATAAACTTACCATTAGTATGCATGCATGTCTAAATATAAACTAATATATATTTCCGCACTCAATTGTATACCTATCAACAAAATTATTTTTATTTACTTCTGTACGTTATTTTCTTTGGCGGTATTGTGTCTAAGGTTATGGTTGTCTTTCTGATATTGTTTTACAACTAACACCCTTACTTTATTTTTTTTGTATTGAAATTGTGTCATAGATCAAATGTATTCGTTCAGTGTATGTTCACTTGTTTTGTTAATATGTCTTTTGATTGAGTTAAGCCATTTCAATCTATATTTTATAGTGTGTCTTTCTATGTTGTGATGTAAAACTATTGTTTCAGGTTGTGTGAAGGTTGGCGCCTATTAACACGTTTAAACCAGCTGCATGTGTTTGTACCTGTCCTAAATCAGGAACCTGATGTTCAGTGGTTGTCGTTTGTTGATGTGGTTCTAAAGTGTTTCTCGTTTCTCGTTTTTTTTTATTTAGATTATACCGTTGGTTTTCCTGTTTGAATGGTTTTGGAATGTAATTTCCAGAATAAGAAATAAATTTCAAGAACTATCAAAGCGGTTTGTGTTTGTACCGGCCGACAAAGCAGCCAGCAATGTGGTGGTGGTATGCCGTAAATACTACACGGACGTTCTTAAGAATGAAATTTTAAATTCTTCCACATTCAATTCCGTGCGCTCCACAGAGAGACATATAGTAAACATACACATCATAACCACATCATAGCTTAAGGCTTCTTCTGAACATTTGAAGGTCCCTACTATGTATTGGTTACCTAAACTACACAAAAAACCAGTAAAATATCGTTTCATCTCGGCCTCTAGTAAGTGTTCTACAACTAATCTTTCAGTGCTTTTAACAAGTTCCTTAACTACTATCAAAGAACTTATCATAAACTATTGTAATAAAATATATGAAAATACTAGTAATGGAATTAACTATTTTTGGAGTGTAAAAAATTCTTTGGATGTTTTAGATAAATTACATGCTTTCGATGGTCCTTTCGATTCTGTTGACAGTTTTGACTTTTCTACTCTTTAAACAAAAGTTTTCCTATTTAATTGAATGGTCGTTTGGTAAATCTGAATGCAAATATATTTGGTGCAACTCATTTAAAGCCTTCTTCTCTAATGAGAAATGTAGATATGCTAGATATACTTACTGGAGGTGTGATGAGATGTTTGAAGCTGTTAATTTTCTCCTTGATAATATTTATGTACGTTTCGGCAACACAATTTATCGACAGGTTGTAGGTATTCGAATGGGCACTAATTGCGCCCCTTTAATAACAGACTTGTTTTTGTACTGTTATGAAGCATAGTTTATGACCAAACTCAGTAAAGACCCGTCTAAATTGCATTTAATTGATAAATGCAACAACACTTACCGTTATCTTGATGAAATTTTACGTTCTATAATCAAGAATTTTCTAAATATACTGCCAAAATTTACCAAAAGGAACTTACTTTAAATAAATCAAATTTAAACGGTAATAACTGTCCTTTCCTAGATTTAGATATATCGGTTTTACACGGGAAACTCCACACTAAATTTACGACAAAAGGGACGATTTTTCGTTTCCTATGTTAATTTTCCCTTTTTGGATTGTGATGTTCCTTTGGCACCATATTACGGTGTTTATATTTCACAACTCGTTCGCTATGCCCGTGTCTGTTGTGACGTTTTTGATTTTAACGAACGTAATCTATGTATTACTGGTAAATTATTAAGCCAGGGATTTCGTTATCACAAAGTATTTAATATCTTTACTAAATTCTTCCAGAGATATAAAGATTTGGTTTTGAAGTTTGGTTGTACCTGTAGAAAACTTATTTCAAACGGGATAGCACATCCTCATTTTTACGGAGATGTTGTTTACAGTACCCAAGAGTTTAGAAACGATCCTGGTAAACTTATCGATCCTTTAAATAAACTTATTCTAAAAGGTTACCAATTCAACACTGTAATTAGATCTTTGAATATTGTTTTTATTGGTATTAATATTGATTTTGTTATCAGTAAATTAAAAGCAAACTAAATATTGTTGTTATATACATATACACATTCATGGACCACAATCTGTCGATACCTGTATCTTGGCATTGCACAAGGTCATGTTTAAATTATTTGACTTTTTATGACGTCTTTACACTAAATCCATTGTATGCTGGATGTGAACTGATTGATAATTTAGTCTTACATGCATGATTTTTTTTATTAATTGTTAGTGACTTTGAACTAGCTGTCCGTAACTACGAGTACTCTCAGATCTGTACTTAGTGTTTTTTTTGTTGTTGTTGGGATATACAAGTACCCGCCCTGCAGGCACGCTTTGTTGAATCAACGTTGAATCTTTGTTGATTTTAGGTTATACATTGATCAACAAATATTCAACATTGATTCAACGTTGACAATTCAACGTTGAAATTAGAACATTGTTTCAACGTTGAATTAACATTGTGTTGAAACACCAATATTGAACAAACGTTGGCTAAACAATAGATGATCATATATAAAACCCAGTAGTTGTGGATACCAGAATTGTCAAAAAAGAAGTATTGGGCACATCACAATTCTTTTTAAATTGACAACGATATTCACATGAAATAGAATATTCAGTAGATTTATCACTAATTGTCGTGGTGATAATAGAATAATATATAAAACAATCGCAGTGTATATCAGCATAAATTAATCATGAACTTTGCACACCATATAATAGAAATTCCCAAATTTCACCCACCCCAAAACATAATAAATTAATAGAACCAGCTTGCATACAGAATCATACAGTAAATATAAATATTTGTGAATAACCCCTTCCCCTAAAAATATGCCCCCTTTTTCCGTGGCTGCTGATGTCAAATATCTTGTTTTCATTCCCTTTTTTCTATTCTTTTTAACAATCTAAAGAGAAAGACGTATATATCAGTTCATAAACAAAGGTTGATAACTTGTAATATAAACAACCGATAGATCTATTAGAATAGTGATTTTTAAATTTTCGCGGCATTTTTTACATTTCTATTTTAAGACAAATTCAGATATGCGCATGCGCAGTTGTTTTTGTTGCCAAAGTTTGAATATCCGCTTTCGAGCCCACAAGGTGATTCTACAGAGTTTTTATTAAATCTTTCCTGTATACAGCTTTTATATTTTATCGTAAGTATATATAAATTGTTGTGATTACAGTAAATACAGTATCGTATTTTAGAAATGTGAGCATATCAAGTTGTTATGAAAACTGTACTGAAAAGTTGAAATTTTACACGAGGAAAAGGGGGATGTTTAGCATGTTACCATTCACGATTTACCTTGCAACGTCTTATGAATTTTTATCGTTGACTATTTGAATTCATCATATGATTGAATCAAAAGTAAAAAGAAATTTTATCTTTATTTACCTGTTCAATTCAGTTACACGAAATCTCACAAAAAGGGGGGCTTGAGTTGTTTACAAAATTGGGATGGAAAGGTCAGAAGCTATATGGCTCAGCAAGTTGGACCTTTAATATTTTACTGTCAAAATTGAAGTAGTGTTTTGACAAGGTAATCAAAGATGAAGGGTACATCGTATGAGGGTGGTAAAGAAATATTTGCATGCAACGTATTTGGCCTTTTTATTTCTCGTTTTCTTGTCTTTGGTTCGACATGCAATATTTGTGTTTCCCCTTATTTATTTTCCGTGTTTCGTGTTGGTACTCTTAATTTCTCGTGCTTGTCCCACATTTGATAAAAAAAGTAAACCGGGACTAAATTCCAAGTCAGTCTGCATTTTTAAATTATGTGTTCCCAGGATATCATGGATATTAATTGCTATCAAGTTATAAATAATTTTTTTTTCAAATCGGATGCAACTAGCAGACGCGAAAAGGTGACCGCAGGGTCGTCGTGTCCATTATCATGACTGTGTGAACTCCAAGAACGACTGAGTAATAACTGCTAGTACTTTTTCCGTAACATTTACGATTTTATTTCTCGTGCTTCGTTTATCCCAATTTTTATTTTCCGTGCGACGTTTGGGGATTTTTATTTCACGTGTTTTCGTGTTAAGAACCCCCCTTTACAACCCTTGTATATGTCAATCAGACAGATATCCATGCAGCAGCACAAGTAATACAGAAAAAGACATTTTGGCGTTAATATTGATTCACTTATAGGGTCTTTGCATCGGCACTAAACACATTTATTAAAAAACCAGTTGTTGGCATGACACGGGTTATGTTCTTCTCATATATGTTATGATGGTATGATACTAAACCCCTAACGGGAAGGATTGTGTCTGATATTCATATGATGAAGACATAATCTTTCAATCAGTTTAATTGAAGTCTGGAGCTGGCATGTCAGTTAACTGCTAGTAGTCTGTTGTTATATATGTATTATTGTCATTTTGTTTATTTTCTTTGGTTACATCTTCTGACATCAGACTCGGACTTCTCTTGAACTGAATTTTAATGTGCTTATTGTTATGCGTTTACTTTTCTACATTGGCTAGAGGTATAGGGGGAGGGTTGAGATCTCATAAACATGTTTAACCCCGCCGCATTTTTGCGCCTGTCCCAAGTCAGGAGCCTCTAGCCTTTGTCAGTCTTGTATTATTTTTAATTTTAGTTTCTTGTGTACAATTTGAAGTTTAGTATGGCGTTCATTATCACTGAACTAGTATATATATTTGTTAAGGGGCCAGCTGAAGGACGCCTCCGGGTGCGGGAATTTCTCGCTGCATTGAAGACCTGTTGGTGACCTTCTGCTGTTGTCTGTTCTATGGTCGGGTTGTTGTCTCTTTGACACATTCCCCATTTCCATTCTCAATTTTATATGTGGATAAACCTTCAATTTGTTCAAGTTAAAATGTAGTATTTAGGATTTTCTTGCAGATTATACCTTCTGGTCTATATAAAAGGAAATGTAGTTGAGATTTAGATGGAAGTTTAACTTTCATTTAGTTTTCATGAGTTCTTATGCTTTTGATTTATACTTTAAATATCATCATTATGAAGTTATTAATAGTTAAATGTGTTGAACAGTATTAAACTTGACAATGTTATAACTTTTGATTTTGTAGATGTCATCATGAAGACCTATGGAACAAGTGTCTGACCAAACAACAACCTTTCTAAAATGGGCTCCAAAAAGACAGGGTGGGAAAAGAAAGAAGTTGAAGTTTTCACTATTAATAAATAAATTTATTTTTATTTTATCGTATTGAATATTTCTCTATAATCAGTGGTTGGACATTAGAATACATGGAGTAGGAACAGCAAAATTTGTTTTATATTTTGATCACTCAGATATTTAGAATAGACATTGGGCAAAAACTATGTGTATTAAGGGTTGTGTGCTTTCAAAAATTAGGATAGATCAATATTTCTCTATGATAATTTGTGTTTTTATATGCATATCGTTAAATGTTAAAAAAATCTTGGGGGTTAAATTATGGTTCGTAGGAAAGCCCTAAACACACATATTTGTTATTCAGTTGATTGGTTGTTGACATCATGGTCAAGCCATGCTCTTATCACAAGAATGTGGTCTCTCAATTTTATTGTTGAAAATTCTTCTATGAGTAATTGACAGTCAATGGTATATATTCAAAGTTTTAATGGTTGCCTATTGTTAACAATACAATCATCGACCAAAGAACATTATTTATATATCTTTGGGTCACCATACAGTCTTCAACAATGAGCAAAAGATCACATCATGTCAAATATGACCAGGCAATGATATTATTTAAAGTTCATCAATTTTTTTCTGAGATTAATTTTTATATTTTGGTCTGATGGAGCAGTTATTGGATAAAGTTTCCTGCGGCAAAATGTTGCTATGACATTTAGCATGTAGAGGGCCTTGAGAAGACACTAGCTTGAATATTGCTACAGTATAAAATTATGGAATGCAACACATAGAAAATACAGGATGAATGAAACTTAAGTTTTAGGTGGAAACACAGTTGAACACAACCACTAACCAATTTTGATTCCATGTTGAATATAGTATTCACCCTGAATTCAATCTGAATTCAAGGTGAGTTATTGGTTTAAACAATGTTGAAGCAACCATTATTCAATATTGATTCAAAGTTGAATATCAACGTTGATTCAACGTAGGATTTCAACGTTGATACAAATTTGCAAAATCTAATAATAATTCAACATTGATTCAACATAGAAAATAAACATTGATTCAATGTTAAATCAACGTTGTGTGCCTGCTAGGCGGCCACGTCCACTCTGTGTTTTTGTTAGATGTATTTCTATTTGTATTCATCTGATGAGTTAAGCCTTTTTCAACTGATTTTTATAGTTCGTTCTTATGTTGTACTGTTACACCACTGTACCAGGTTAGGGGGAGGGTTGAGATCCCGCTTTCATGTTTAACCCCATCATATTCTGTTTGTATAAGTCAGGAGCCTGTAATTCAGTAGTTGTCGTTTGTTGATGTGTTACATATTTGTTTTTTGTTCATTTTTTGTACATAAATTAGGCCGTTAGTTTTTCTCGTTTTAATTGATTTACATTTGTTATTTCGGGACCTTTTATAGCTGACTATGCGATATGGGCTTTGCTCATTGTTGAAGGCCGTACGGTGACCTATAGTTAATTTCTGTGTCAATTGGTCTCTTGTGGAGAGTTGTGTCATTGGCAATCATACCACACCTTCTTTTTTATATTTGATGGGTTTTTTTTACAAATTGTGACTTGGTTGAAGGGTTGTCTCATTGGCACTCATACCACATCTTCTTATATCTAAAAATCAAATATCAACTGCTCACTACCCATGCTACCGTATAATTCAAATATTTATTGATAATAAATCACGATCATATTGTTTATAGTGGAGACCAGAATCTGTCAAACGCATTTGCTCTTTTATTTTTGTTTGCAATTTAAAACTCATTAGATTGGTATGGTTTTATTCTGAATTTAAGTCCTAGTGCATGTGGTTTTAAGCAATAATAATTAGCAAAGATATAAACAAACTCTAAATAAATTCCAACAAACTTTCTGTCTTACTGATGCTGAATTGCTCATCAAATGATTAAATTGTCTGTAAAAATGACAACCAAAATTTGTAGGTAACGTTACAATAATAAAATGTTTGGTTGTTTTTTTTTTGTGGTGTTTGATCCAATATCCATGCAATGTGGTAGTCCTACGTTGGTAGTGTTAACGTTTATTCAACAAAGAGTTTATTAGATGATGCCTGTATCGTAGGAAATCGTATATTATTTGGAAATATAAAAATGTCAAATTTAATTATTTTAAGAGTCACATTATCAAATAGAAAGTGATACGAAATATTTTTCATCACTAGTTGGTAGAATGTTATGGGCAATATGTGCATTGGATGACCAGGGCTATGTAACCACAATCCTGTCCTTTTTCCTCGAATGGGACATCACAAAATCCGACTTATCATCAGATTTGGCCTCACATTAGCAACACGAAGGATATTTCATATGGAATATGATCTGTTTATCCTTCTGCGGCTGCTGATGTTATCCCCAGTTAGGTAGGGATCCATGGTGTTGTGTCTTGAGTTTTCTGTGTATTTTTTTTACTGCTGTGTGTTTCGAATTTATAATAAAATCATATAATACATCCTCTAATGTCAGCTTGAGAGTATCATCATTTTAGATTGTTTCTAATTTCAATTGTTACGATTTCATACCCCCTGTGATGCTGTTAAATTGGACCGATAAAAAGTAACTGCCGAAATTTTTTTTTTAATTTATTTATTAAACTTTTTATTAACGTCTTTGTGAGAATTATTTGCAAGTATGTTTGATTGTTTTAATTCAGTTGTGTTGTATGTCTGTGAGGTTTGTTTACGCAGATTAGGTTCCTTGATCCAATTATTGTCCCATTGTCACATTAAACACTTATGTTTGTTTTGGGCGGTCTCCCAATATTGTCAAAAAAGCGGAGCTATAAATAACAGTTTAACAGATGAGAGCAATAAAACACAGCTTAACCTTTTTTCTTCGGAATATGCTGGTAGCAAGACCGGACGCTGACATATTGGTTTTCCAGTTGTTCGTTGATATAGCCTTTAGTTTGATTCTTTCATTTTTTTATAGACTTCCCCTTAGTCATAACAGTCCTTATTTGATTCATTTCATATTTTGAAGGTTTGTTTATTAATATTACTATCATTTTACTACTTGACAGTTTCATGATATTTGTCATATTTTTATTGACCATATTAATAACTTTTCATTCTCATGGAACTCAACTGTGCTTCTCTTCTTGCCAACTTGTTTCTTCATACATACGAGGCTCACTTCATCGATAAGCTTGAAATATTGAACATTGTAAATACGTTAGTGACACATCTCCATTAATCCCGATAGGGAGTGTACACGGATTCCACTGTACCCTCGCAGCTCTCGAGGGATCTACGTACATACATACATACATACATAAGCTTCATAAGTAGAATTATAAGATGCACGCAAGTACCCGTTAACTGACATTGTAGTAGAATAGAGAATGTACACGAGGAATGTGTCAAAGAGACAATAACCTGACCACAGAGCAGACAACAGTTTAAGGCCAACAATCAACGCCATTAATCCTTCTATCACATGTGCCAATTAATTCGTTGCTCTGCAAGAGATTCCCAAGCCTTCGAGGGCAATCTGATATTGGAACTCTGCCATAGGTTTACATGTTTTCGATGCCAATCTGACATTGTTATATCGCAACATATCTACATGTCCACGATGTCATTCTGACAAAGTTACTTACTTTAATTTACATCATCTAAAGACTAAATGAGTTTTTTTTCTAATATATTCAGGAAAAGAAAGCATCAGTTGGAATCAGAATGATTTAATGTATTGTATTTACCAAGGTTTTATCTACTATTTAACAAAGTAACAGCCTATTCATAAGAAAGGTACATAGAGACCATCTATCTTTTGGAAGACATTCACCTTTCAAATAGTTGCTGTATTTGCCAAATATACAAACAAACAAACAGAATAAAAAAGCAAATCAAAAATGTAAAAAAAGTGGATATCACCCCTGGTGGTAATCGTGTTACTCAGTCTCTATTTTGTTATGCTGTGCTTTGTAAACTGGTTGTCTTTTAATCGTGTTTTTGTCTTTTTGCAATGGCATTGCCAGTTTGTTTTCGACCTATAAGTTTAACTTTTCCTTTGGTAACTTGCGCATCTTTTTAAGTTGGTATTTTCTACCCGCTATTCAAAAGCAAAAGATATAAGTTTAAGTTTCTGTTCGTAGGTAGGGCAAAATCGTTCTTGGAAAAACAAGAGTGCACACGCTGAAATGTCTCGCCTTCTTTACTAATCATTGATATTATGTTGATAGTCCTAAATATAAAGCTTTATTACAACTGTCACATAAACTTAACATTAACCAAGTAAACTAAACATTGACCAATGAACCATGAAAATGAGGTCAAGGTCAGATGAACCATGCTAGGCAGGCATGTACAGCTAACAATTCTTCCATACAACAAATATAGTTGACCTATTGCTTATAGTTTAAGAAAAACAGACGAAAACACAAAAACTTAACACTGAGCAATGAACCTTGAAAATGAGGTCAAGGTCAAATAAAACCTGCGTGACTGACATATAGATCATAAAATATTTCCATACACCAAATATAGTTGAACTATTGCATATAGTATTAGAAAAAAAGACCAAAACTCAAAAACTTAACTTTGACCACTGAACCATGAAAATGAGGTCAAGGTAAGATGACACCTGCCAGCTAGACATGTACACCTTACAATCATTCCATACACCAAATATAGCTGACCTATTGCATGCAGTATTAGAAAAAAAGACCAAAACTCAAAAACTTAACTTTGACCACTGAACCATGAAAATGAGGTCAAGGTCAGATGACACCTGCCAGCTAGGCATGTACACCTTACAATCATTCCATACACCAAATATAGTAGACCTATTGCATACAGTATAAGAAAAACAGACCAAAACACAAAAACTAAACTATAACCACTGAACCATGAAAATGAGGTCAAGGTCAGATGACACCTGCCAGTTGGACATGTACACCTTACAGTCCTTCCATACACCGAATATACTAGACCTATTGCTTATAGTATCTGAGATATGGACTTGACCACGAAAACTTAACCTTGTTCACTGATCCATGAAATGAGGTCGAGGTCAAGTGAAAACTGTCTGACGGGCATGAGGAC